TTTCGTTGTACTGGGTGCGGTCGCGTTGTTGCCTCTTGATACCTTTCTCTCTTTGTATTTCCGTCATGGGTATGGGTCGCTTGGCTGGGAGCATAGGCTTGCGGATAAGGATCGTCGACGGCTGGGCCCATAGCTCTATAACGATGCCGATGCGTGGGGACCATGGTACCTCATGCTCGCCACGGATCTGCTTGAGTATCGGCCGAAAGTCTGGAGGGATGATGGCATAGTCGATGAGGCGCCCCGCTCCACTGCTGCACGTGTAGCTAACGCGCTGAGGTACCACAATTGATCCACCAAGAAGTCTTAGCCAAGGCGTCGCTTCAAAGTCTTGTGGTGTATTGTTGAAGTCTCCACAAATTATCCAAGGTATGTTGCCCAGACTCTCTGTCAGCTGAAGTAGGTGCTTCATCTTACGGATATTCTCACCCGTGAAGCCGATGGATGCTGTGAGGTAGGCCGTGATCACTGCTATCTGCTGTCCTTTGAGCTGCCACTTCACCATGGTGATGTCATGGAAATCCTTGGCGAAAATGCTGTGGCCCTGCGCATCTGGCAGGTGTACTCGCGTATCAAGATGACGTCGACGAAGGATGCATGTGCCTCCTAAGGTGCCCGTCGTGGACCGTGGTGATGGCCGCGCTGGCGTCCAAGTGCCGTGAGATCGCCACCCATACTGCATGAGTCGGCTAGCCTCGACCTCTGCTGCTGGTCCTCGTAGGTGGTGTTCGCTCAGCGCGATGATGTCGGACTGCTTGCTCTTGCCCTCGATGAAAAGTTTGGCGGCCGTGTTGTACTGCGTAACGTTGGCCACGAAGATGGTGACGATGGGCTTCGCATCGTCTGAATTGGTCTGCTGGTTCTTGCCTTCGGTCTGGATCTCGATGCCAGTACCTTGCTAACCTGCACGGACTGGCTCTGCCGGCGGGCTTGAACAAGTAGACGATCCCCGAGAAGAAACTGACGTCGTGCTGCCATTATCATCATCTGCCCGAGTAGACGCACTCTCGATGATGTAGTCAGCGTCGTCGTCAAACCAGACCTGCGTCTGGTATGGCGGCCTGGCGAACCCGCTTGGTCCTCGATGAAGCTCTGCTGCGAGTGGGGATTTGCCGTGCTGGACAGCAAACATGGGCACTCTGGGCTCATCCCCCTTCGCAGCAGAGACTGATAGTAGGAAGCCGTCGATCTCGGCTTCAACATCGTCGTACTTCTGGCTGTAGTTAGGATCCCTGCCGCGTGGCGACCATGACCTTCGTCCTGCTCTTGATCTGGGCCAGCTTCGAGAGGTAGGCCTTGACCTGGTCGTCATCTGAGAGGTCGAACTGGTTGGCGAGCTCCACCTCTGGGTCTGTTTGAACTGGTCCAGCATCGGCCGCAGGTGCATCTGCCTGTTCGCCAGGTGCTGCTGCTGGTTCCTGAGATGGTTTAGCTTCAGCTCCGTCTTCTCCCTTACGCCGCTTGCAGGCCTTGGTCTTGATGGTCTTGGCTGCGTCGAGCGCCTTCTTCGCGTTGATGACTGCTGTCTTCTTGCCGTCGATGTATTGCCTGGCCTTCTGGAATTCTTTCTGGATTGCCTCATACTCCTCTTTCTGTTTGCTGTCCAGCATGGCCAACTCCTCATCGTCCAGGGTCGGGAACTCCTCCTCCGCGTCGTCCTGTTTCTTGGCTGGCTGTGCTTCGGCTGCATCTCCTCCGACGTCGGCTTTGGCCTCTTGGAAGTGCTTCTTCGCGTCGGCCAGCTCGGACACGTTGGTGCTGATCCTCTGGAGTACATCATTGCGGTACTCGGTAGCACGCTTGAGCTGCTTGGCCAGCTTGTCTTGGTGCTTCTGGAGACGGTTGAGCTCCGCGACTGCCTCTTGGAGCTTCTGTCCTGTTGATGGCTCTGGTGCAGCGACTGGTTCGGCTGGTTTTGCCTCTGGGCAGGCTGCGAGGATCTCGTCCATGCGGGTCTGGTCGTTTTGCTCCTTGGCCGTGAGGTACTGCTTCCTGAGAAGGTCCACCATTGGCTGAGCTGCTGCACCAGGAGCTGCTTGACCTCCCGCTGGCATCGTTGACGTGGATGGTAGCTGCCACACATGACCACAAGTCTTGCAGTTGGTCCATCCAGGTTTGCCTGCCCTGTTGCAATAAACCCAATTGCCACTACCCACTGGACAAGTCGGGCATACCAGGTACTGCGTGTGCTTCTTGCCCTTGGTGTTAGGCGGCTTGCGGCTGGACGAACGTGAGGTCGATAGTGATGCTGACCGTCGCCACGGTGCACCCCATGCAGCTCCCCACGTCGCTTGGTCATCTGCGTCACTCCAGCCGCCGCGGCCCCGTGTCATGTACTGGGGCAGCAGGAACTTTAGCAGCGGCTTCTGCCGCCCCCCTCAAGCCGCGAACCGACGTACAGCGAGCCCCAGCCCGCCGCCGCCGATGGTGCGCGCCCTGCTGCCTCGGCCCTCGCGTGGCGCGCGCGCGCGCCAGCTGCAGGCCGAAATGGCTTGAGCCAAAATGGCTTGAGCCAAAATGGCTACGGTCGTTGTTTGATGAGGAGGAGGAGGAGGAGGAGGAGGAGGAGGAGGAGGAGGAGGAGGAGGGGGAGGAGGAGGGACGAGGAGGAGGAGGAGGAGGAGGAGGAGGAGGAGGAGGAGGAGGAGGAGGAGAGAGGAGAGGGAGGGGGGAGGAGGAGGATGGGGAGGATGGGGAGGAGGAGGAGGAGGAGGAGGAGGAGGAGGAGGAGGAGATGCAGCTCCGTCTGCTTCGAGGTCGGCCCCTTGCCCCCTGTCAGGCCTGGCCAGCTGCGCCAGCTCCGACGGGGGCGCGGCCCGCCGGCCGGCGAGGCCCAGCCACGCGCAGGTTAGGCTCAAGTCGGGCGCGTCCCCTTACAGGGGGAGCTTCGACGAAAAAAACATTCGAACAATGCTCAAAAACAAAAAGATATTCAAACATCGTCCCCGGACTACTGTTTGACTATTTTGAGCATTCCTTCTGTAGAGGGAGAGGCCCGACTTAAAGGCAGTCCGCCACATCTCTGCCACGCGGGGACCGCAAGCTACCACAACCACATCGAGGACACACCCTGGGAGATGTCTTGCGCACGCCAGCAATCATCAGAGCACCGAAACCATCTCAGTGCAGGTTGTGGTCCAAGCGACGTCCCAGGACGGCCAAATCGACCACCACTACAATTATGTCGGGCGTGTCCCCCTACAGGGGGATTTTCAACGAAACATAAAGAATACCCAAAAGATAATCAAAAAGTAATCCAAAAATAGTCGGGGGACTATTTTTTTGTATTTTTTGACCTTCCTGGGGTATGTTTGGGGGTATTTTTGATGTTTCGTCGAAAATCCCCCTGTAGGGGGACAGGCCCGACATAACACTACAGCCGGAGTGCTCGTGTCGAGGACGGCGGGCTTCTCCCCGACGGGCCCTCCGGATAAAAAAAACGTAGTTGTGTGTTTGTCGCTCTTGGTTTATGTCGGGCGTGTCCCCCTACACAGGGATTTTCGACGAAAAAATGAAAATACCAAAAAAAAACTTCAAAAAGATCAAACAATACTAAAAAAATGCTCCCCTGACTATTGTTGGAATATGTTTTGACTATTTGGGGGTATCTTTTATCTTTGGTCGAAAATCCCCCTGTGGGGGGACAGGCCCGACATAATTCTTGGTTGCGCCTGTATGCCAGCGTGATAAGCCACAGCGTGGGCCACTCCAGCTCAGCTCCTTGGCCTCGTGGGGGGGTCCGAACGCCGCCCCGCTGCGCCAAGACCGCGCTCCGTGCAGGCCAGGCCTGCTCCGAGGCCGCACGAGAGCCTCGGACAGCTTCGTGTCGGCCACACTGCCGACGAGGCCGGCGCAGCAGCCGCAGTGGCACGAAGGTGCGGCGCTTCCTGCAGATCGCTGGCCCGCTTGCGGGGCAGGTCTCGGGTCCTGCCGAGGTGCTGCATCCCAAGGCCGCGCTAACGGCGATGTTGGTTGACGGCGGTTAGGAATCCGATGTTCGTGACACCGAGCTCGCGCAGAACAAATGGTAGGACATCACGAAGCCCACTTCCCTACATCTCCGATCAGCGGATGTGTCGAACGAAAGCGACACCGCGAATCGTAGGAAAGCACGAGCCGCGCGCTCCCACAATACCGAAACCTGCATCGCCGTTACCTGCATCGCCGTTAGCGCGTCTACGGATCGACCGCCGAATCAGCCACAACCCAATGGCGCACGGCACCATCACGATGCGCCTCGGCACCCAGAGAGGCCGCTGCCCTGCACCTCGGGGGGCCGGGCCCGACCCGTGTGAGACTTCGCCTCCTTGCCGGCTTTGTCCCAGCGAGCGCCCGTCGGCGTGGCATCCCAGAGCAGCACCAGCTCCGCTCGAGCACCTGCCGCAGGGTACAGCCAGGAGGCGGCATCGCATGGAAAAGACACTGGCACCTTCGAATCTTGGCGCCACATCGGCGGGGGGGAAGAGGCAGAGGTGGAGGAGGAGGAGGAGGAGGAGGAGGAGGAGGAGGAGGAGGTGGAGGAGGAGGAGGAGGAGGAGGAGGAGGAGGAGGAGGAGGAGGAGAGGAGGAGGAGGTGGAGGAGGAGGGGGCGGAGGAGGAGGGAGGGGCGAGGAGGAGGAGGAGGAGGAGGAGGAGGAGGAGGAGGAGGAGGAGGAGGAGGAGGGGGAGTAGGAGGAGGAGGAGAGGAGGGAGGAGGGGGAGGAGGAGGGGCAGGAGGAGGAGGAGAAGAGGAGGAGGGAGGAGGATGGAGGAGGAGGAGGGAGGAGGGGAGGAGGAGGGAGGAGGAGGAGGATAAAGAGGAGGAGGAGGAGGAGGAGGAGGAGGAGGAGGAGCAGGAGGAGATGGAGGAGGTGGAGGAGATGGAGGGAGGATGTGGAGGTGGAGGAGGGAGAAGGAGGTGAGGGGGGAGGGATGTGCAGGTGAAGGAGGGACAAGGATTTGCAGGTGGCGAGGACGGGAGGCGAGGCGAAGAGGCAGAGAGAGGGAGGGACGGACGAGGC